CCAACACACCACTCATACTGGCTCTGCATCAGTTCATTGAGCGCCGGGTGTCCGCACTGCCCGTCGTTGACAAACGGTCCAAAGTGGTGGACGTTTATGCAAAGTTCGATGTCATTGTATGTATTGTCAAGTTGTGTATACTATATCGATGGTGTACTGTATTTTGTGAATACAATGATTTAGTATTAGTTATTGGATTATGTTTTCAAGTTTTATCTGTTGTATTGATTTTTGGTCAGTATTTTATACACGGATTTATGAATTAAGTTTTTTTAATGTTGTTGTTGTTGTAGTGTTTGATTGAGAGCTATCGAGCGGTTAATTTATTATACAGTAATACAGACCATGTTTTATTCAACAGCATTATGTTTTTGTTGAGCTTGTTATTGATAATTAAATTTTGTTGGTATAAAATCATGGTTGTATAGCAAATCACTATTGAATTTATTAATTATATATTCAGTACAGTATTCAGTAGTCTCTCAATGCCATTGATTGTCATTATAAACAGCGATTAATCAATTCAACATTATAATTATAATATTTGTTTCTAGGCATTGAGAATTGATTAACCATTATTGTTTTTACCCATAATAATAGTATTTATAATTAGCATTGCATTATCACAATCAAAATTGTTTACAATATATTGGCAGTTATGATCTAGTATTAAGTGTAGTTATAAAATAAGCTAGATTATTTTTGTTTTAACACAAACAGGCCTTCTATTATTTAATTTATGTAATAATCCACATTAAAATACTGTTAAAAATCACCTTATTAATAAAAACCTTGCTTAATTTCTCCCAAAATCATACTAATGGCCAGCATTTAGCCGCTGACAAGACGTACAATAATCTGGACATTACGGTGAAGAAAGCGCTGGAGCACAGGGACCAGTCGGAGCGTGTGATCAAATGCACAATGAATGATACGCTGCACCAGATACTAGAGAAAATTGTCCAGGCTGAAGTATGTGCATCACACCAAACAAAAACAAATTAGCTAACACAGTATATTAACCATGTTTGTTTTATTAGGTGCATAGGATAGTGGTGGTGGACAGCGAGGACCACGTGATTGGCATCATATCACTGTCCGATATATTGTCGTTTCTGGTGCTCCGCCCGCTCGGCCTCGAGAGGAAGGACGTGGACTGTGATAAGCTGGTCGAGGAGACCGCCGAAGAAGCGGCTGTCGATGATAGTGACCACAGCGAAGACACCACTACCAGCACCGGCGGTGGCATCGCTAAGACAGCGCCCACACCCATACCCGCCGCCACACCACTGGCCGATCCGCTGAAGTGAATTGGGATGTGCTGTGCGAGTGATGTGTGTCTATGTGTCTGTGGACAGGGATGTGGTTTTAATGGATAATAATTAGTGGTATAGAAATGCGATGACATATTGACTGTCGAAAAATACTTCACGCGTTGGAAGCGATTGTCAGCAAAAAAGATTATATAATTATAAGACACGGGTTTTTATTGGCGATTGTTTTATGGGATTAATGAGTGATTGATTTTGTCGACGGATTAACGGATTCTCTTTGTGTTCATAGGATTTGTGGTGTTTTTTGATATAATTTTATTATTAATGAATTAATTTGAGACGATTTTATTGGATGTGATGCTTGTGATGGTAATCGACCGGTGGTTATGATGTATAACAACAATGAAAAATGAACATGGTGGAAAGTTGTATCCACTTATATATATGGTGTCTGTGAATATAATGTGTTTTTATATAAATATATATTTAATGAACAATTGAGTGAAGAATTAATTGATTTGTAATTTAATTTGTAATGATTTATAATTATTATTATTATTACCATAATTTTTTGTTGTGCTGAGAAACTAACAATTTATTTGTTACACTTTTTAATTTAATTAATTTGTATAAAACGATAGTTTGTTTTATTAATTAGTAATTACCGACATTATTATGATTTGGTTTTGTAATGGCATTGATTTTATCACTCATTGTTACCATCAAACAATATCATTGACTTTTTGAACGAGTTATTTATATGCGATCGAAGATTATATGCCAATCATTACTGGAAAGAAAAATACACACAAAATAAAGCAAATAATAATAAAAATTAATGTTTTAATTGGATATCAATTGAAGAGACATTTAATTAATAATTTCATTACTGGTCTGAATTGTGATCCGAAAATACACACAACAATCGCTTTAACGTACGGTTTTGTTTACTATAACCTCTGTATAGTGTATCCATTTATTGTGAACTAAAGGCCGGAATATATTTATATTTAAAACATCAGAAATATTTTTTTGCAAACAAAACATCTCATAACTTAACGTCAAAACACAAGTGCGAAAAATTAATTATAATTATTATAATTCTGTGATTACAATGAAGATCAAGATTAACGGCAAAAATGAATAATTATTACATAATTTGATTATAAACTCAATCATCGGATCAATGAATTAATAAAAGGATTGACTATTAATTAAGAAATGTTGAAAAACAAAGACATTTATGGATTTGATTTGTATTTTTCATGGTTTTGAGTGTAAATAATATTCTGTACATTAAAACACAGCAATGATTATAAATATATTAATTATTAAATATATATTCCGTAAAAATCAATTATATATTTATGATTGGTATACATAAGAGACAAATATATATCATTAATGTAACAAATAATTGATAATAATATTAGTTATAAATATAAACAGAAAAATTAATTTTAAAGCAAATCTAGTTTACTATTAGTTGTAATTATAATGATTATTACAAATATTAATTGAGAGAAAGAGCTATAAAAATATATAACAAAACTAAACACACAAATCAATTGTAAAAATTTTAAAAATAATTTTGCTGTCAAATGAGTAATTATTTTAAAAACTTAAAAATTAAACCATTTTTAATCCGAGATAAAAACAGATTATAATTATTTTTATTTGCCTGTCATTAGTGTCTAACAAAAATATAGATTGTTTTAATTATTTTTGAATTTTACTTTTTTTGTCACTCAAAAAATATTTTTGTGAAAAACATGTTTTTCTTCCGCTTTTTCGTAAATAAAATGAAAACACATTTTGTTTCAAAAATTAAAACATTTTAACATTAA